CAGATGATGGCTCCAGTGCTTGACTTCTTGACACCAATGTGGGGGACCCGGATGGAGTTCCTGTCTCCTGGCTTGGCTTGGTTGTTGCGAGCATTTGAGGAGTGATCAAGTGAAAGGAAGATCTCTATCTCTCCTTCCTGCCTTCTCTGTCTTTCAAATAGTTAAAAATAAACATTTTAGGAAAAAAAAGTTGATAAAGTTGAGGGAAAGGATAGAGGAATCAAGTACTATTGCCATTTTTACATGCTGTACCAGGGAGGTCTGGGCCTATTGAAATTAGCTGAGATTAGCTTCTTGAAAATGAATAAACTAGTCTCCACATAATCTGCCATATTTTGAGATGCTCATATCAATCTTGTCCCATCCATATCATCTTCTAAGGCAATCTTCCTGCTGGTGGCCATATTCTAAATAGCCATATTCTATACCATGTGGTTGTCCTTTGTCTCAGGTGGCTGGGATAGACACTTAACTTGAAGACAGCCATTCTTTAACCTGGCCAGTCAGCTATATGCACTAGCTTAAATTGACAGTCTCGCCCAATCAGATTCCTTTCGAAAATTGGCATTGGAAAACTAGAATACGCATGCAGTTGGCAGCAATGTCAGATTCTCAGAGGTTGTCATGAACCATATGCAAACTGAAACTATGAAGGAATAGAAGAGACAGAGAGTAGAGGGTGAGGAAGCTGGTTGGGGAAGAAGGGTAGTCAATATGCAGAAAGAAAGCAAAGCAATCAGGACTGACATTTACAGCTGCCTTAAATCCTGGTGCATTTCCACTTCCAGTCCCTGTGTGTCTTTGTCATAATTCCCTTCAACCAGTCTAATCTCCACTGCTAATTTTGTAAAATAACTTAAGTGTCTCTGTTTCTTTCAACCAAAAGAGGAAATCATCCCTCATTTCCATGTCAAGCACTGGTTAAGTATGAATATTACCCTAAGTTCTCATTAGTAAATGGATGTGAAAGTCCAGACATTCCAAAACAAAGAACTAGAACTCACTGGGTGAGAAAACCCCGTTTTAGTTTTTGCACATAAAAATTTTTACAGCGTATGTTTCATTAAGAAAGCATGCTCAGCAAAAAACCTCAGACTTCTTAGAAACTTTTTTTGTTGTTCCTAGTTGCAGTAATTTATTACCCAGACCACTTGTCTTCTGCAGGTTTAATGTTAAAGTGGTTCTAATATGTCTATGCTGTCAACTCCCTATAAAGAAAACGTTGAGAAACAGAGGCTTTTCTCCCTTTCTACCCATTATCCTTTGTTCAGACTTAATGCCTGCAGGTCCAGTTTAATGATTTTCCAGAGTTTATGAACCAATAGATTAAAAAAAAGGAAAAACAAACAAAAATCAAAGTTAAGCTTCCCAAAAAGTTTCTAAGAACTAAACAGTCAAGAAAAAGAAAAAGTGATTGAGGATATCTTTGTGTCAAGTTAAAGATCACTGTGGTGGTCTCCATGGTTAATAAAGGGGTCCAGGTAAATCCTAGGAGGATATCATTTTATTTGGGAAATACTGTCTAAACACATGTATAAATGCTTAAATAGACTCAACTTGCCAGATGTGGAATGTGCCTGAACAACTAACTGATCTATTTTTGTACAGCCAAGCAGTAGCTTTAGAGGAGTTCATTTCAGCTGCTCACAATAGATGTGGAATTTGTTTGGTTTCCATTCCTGTGCTTCATATTCCTCATCTCTGCAGGAGCCAGGACCCCTTCCTGTCCTTTCTCAATCTCTCTCCCTCTCTCTCTCTCTCTTTCTCTCTGTTTATACTGGGCTTATTCTAGAATCAGCAACCCTTGAACCTAGTTTTCTATCTCATAGCCAAATAATTCTTAGGATTTGCTATGCCCTTAGAAAATAAAGGAGGTACTTCACTTAGCTTGTGGGGGTCACCTTTGCAGGTATGGTGAAGAAGAGGCAACAGTCTCCCTGAGCAATACTAGAAGGGTTGTTGTTCTGTTGAAATTGCTGTTGATGAAATAGCCCTATTGTTTTTTTATATGTACAAGACCTGTCACTTTGCATTTTCTATTTCCCAGTGAAGACATGAACATCTAGAAATTCACATGTCTTCAGGGAACTAAAATGGAAACATTCTCATATTCTACAAGTGTAATTTTAACTGTGACCTAAAATGTATTGCCTACAACTCCTATAAAGGTGAAGTTGAAATTTTCTCATTAGTTTTCTACCTCAATATTGTATAATCTGGTCACTCTTCAGAACTTCTTCAAATTTCATTTTTTAGCACTTACTTTATGGTTTCTTATGAGGATTAAATAAAAAGATACACATAAAGAGCTCAGAACAGTGTCCTTCCTATTATGAGCACTTGATGAATGTTGACTCTTTTTATTATTTTAAAAAGCTTTCATGCAACAGCAATTTATTTTTCAACAGACATTGAAAATTAGTTGGATTTTAATGTCTTGGGTTCCCTGATACTATTTGCCAAGTCAGTTTGTTTTGATTTCAAAGAGTCTCAACTGCCTGATAACATGCATGGTTTATTATTAAACATCTTTATTGCATTTGTGTTTGCAAAGTACATTTTTGTCGTCTGTTAGTCTACCCAGTCACATCCTAAGATAGAGAATTCAGTGTCAGAGATACTGTTTGATAATGAAGAAGTTTAGGACATGGATAAATTAAGTGACAAGAATGTGCCTCTCGTTCTAATATTTCTCCAAATGAAGAAATATGATCTTCTGTAGAAATTGGGCTTACCTGTGTACACAGGTGAGTGTATTGTGTACACAGACAGATGTATGTGTTCTGCTCTCAACAAATTCTCTTTTTCCTAAACTAAAGACAGGTCATTCTTTAAGCTTTTACTTGAAAATTGCTAATGAAAAGGATATATTGTTCCCATGTAAGGGCTGGAACTCTGAGTAGAGCACTTTAGAATACTTCAAGAGCTTTGTCTACTAGTACCAGCCACAGCTAAGGAGGCCTAGTTTTACCCTGCATGAGGCAACATCATTTTGTGATATGAACAAATTCACAAAACCAAATATTCTCTATGTTTTCTATTTGACCTAAGCAAGAACTTGACCATGTTATAAATAGGTCTGGATTTTATAAGGGCAGGGCTAGTCTGAGAAGGTCCTTCCTTTGGGTGGTGTAGGGGAGAATAAAGCTCCACAGGGTCTCTGTCTTCTCTGCCTTTATGCTTGCCTGCTGTTTATAGAAGCCTATTTGTGAGTCTGCCCCATCATCAGACTTATTTGTTTCCTGATTATTTACCAAACGAAGGACCCAGGCTACAGGATATTTATACTATTGTCTATCAAAGCCTTCACTGGGAGAAGAGATAAGCAATTCCTCTGCCAAAGAATATTGAGGCCTGTGAATTATGAACGCACATGAAAAAAGTCACTCATTGCATTACCAGGTTATCAGTAAATGATTTTGTTCGAGCTAATGATGCAATTCATCTAGGTTGGTTTCACCTTCCTTTGATGTCTTGAATGTAATTCCTACTTTTCATCTATTGTTCTTAGCAAATTGTAGAGTGGCATCCCAGGTAACAAGGAGCTGCAGCCAAGCCTCCTGGAAAATTTGTCCTCTTTTGCATAAATGAAGAAGTGTGTTCAGCCAAACAAGGTATGGGCTTTAGATGGGGAGGGTAACAAAGAGGGATGAGATTTTTCTGGATAGGAAAAATACAACTGGGAAGGCAGAGGTCTTAAGGTGTTGGTCTCATGGTCTCTGCAGGCCTGGTGCTGCCCAAAGCAGTATCACAGTAAATTGACAGTTTTTCTCTCCAGATAAGGAAACATCTTGGGGTGAATAGAGGCTACAGCGCCATACTACCAGCTCCTGAGCCAGCTCAGCATTTGTTCTCTTTGCTCTACGTCTTCAGAGCTTCAACTCACTCCTATTCTGGAGTGAGTTCAGGTGCGCAGAGCTTACAGATTCCAGTGATAGGCTGACTTTGTGTTGCCACTGCTTCTGGGTTTCCATAAGCAGTTTGCAACAACACATGATTTCAAAGCCTTCTAATGTTTCTTACCTTTTGTCCTATTACTTGTCTGATCTGCTCCCAGTTTTTCATATTCAAGTCTCCTATGTCTTTTAGTAATCTGCTTCTTTCCACACCATTTGCCCTACTTCCTACAACCTTCTAACAACAAACTACTGGACCCCAGTGTCTTTGCTCTGTTGTTCACCTTCTCAAAAGTCCCTCAACTTATCTGGATAGGAGAGTAGAAAGCTGATTGATTGGTTGGTTGATTCATTCATTCATTCATTGCAGTGAATGTCTAGTGCTGACTTGACTGAACATGGCTTGCTTGCTACGTGTAGTTCATGCTCCTTCCAGGGGGAAGTTATGAGTGAGATTTTGCCCAGACACAGTTGGGCCCTTCTGTGGTTAGTACTGCTCATGCTGACTCAGCTATTGCTTAAGCAAATAAAGGCAACTGTCTTCACAGAGTGGCCATGAAGACTTTGGTGGCATCCATGTGACTGAAAACTTGCAGGTTACCTCTGTTCCTGTCCATGAACAGAATGTCAACCCCAGCCATACTCTCCAGAAAGAAAAGCCCATTTTATTGTTAGACTGTAAGCTCCATGAGGGCACACATGTGTCTGGCTTTGTTCATTTAGGTATTCCAAGAACCACAGACTGGTATCTTTTCTATTGTGGGTGTTCAAGAAGTCTTTATTAATGTGAATTCCTGCCTGATGAAGTTTTTCCTATAGCATTGCATAAGGCGTTTTTCCATTAAATAGCATAGAATCAAATGAGTATGGCAGAGTAGATTTTAATAAAATAATTATGATACACAGAAAAAAAGATGATTGTATCCATCATGGTACATGGTTTGCATGAATATGAGTTTCTGAGGGCAGTAAACACATCCCAGAGAATAGGATTAGGAACCAAATAAAATACAGTAAAATTAATGAATACCTCAAACATGAAGGGTAGTCAATAAAGAGAAAAATATGTATATATATATAAATAAAATTCTTATTTTTTTCATCTATTTGAAAGGTAGATTCTCACAGAGAGAGAGAGAGAGGAAGAGGGAGAGAGACACAGAGAGAGTTCTTCCGTCTACTAGCTCATTCCCCAAATGCCAATACAGCCATGGCTGGGCCAGACAGAATCCAGGAGACCAGAACTCAATCTGAGGTCTCCCATGTGGGTGGCAGGACTCAGTCATTGAGCTATCTACTGCCTCCAACAATGCATTAGCAGGATGCTGGGTTAAATGTAGAGTAACTGGGACTTGAAATGGTGCTCTGATATGGTACACAGGCATTCCAAGCAATGACTTAGCCCACTGCACAACAATGCCCAACTCTATTTTCCCTAATTATAGAAATGTGAAATTGATAGAGTCCACTGTGTAGCTGAAATACCAAGTATTTTCTCAGAACATAGTACTATTTCTAAAAAAATGTTAAAAACAAGGATTTAGACTATAAAGTCCCTTCCAAATTTAAAAGTTATGAATTATGATTCTGAATGATCAAAAGTTATAAAACATAAATAAAACTGAGAACTTTATTCCCTCTTTGGGGAGTACATCTTGAACAAAGAATCTTAACTTCAAGTCTTTGGTTGTACTTTCTTATATCTTTATATTTTCTGAGTCTGTGTGCAAAAGTTTTGTATGTGTGCATTCCTACTCTGAGGAATAAGAATTTATAGTTTTCATCAAATTTCCAAGGTAGATTGAGACCACAGAAACATTATTCATTAGGATATAATATTTTAATTATCTCTTTTTCTGAAATGATCTATTTATTTGTTTATTTGAAAGGCTAACAAAAAGAGAGAGAGAGAGAGATCTGCCATCTTCCATTTGCTTCCCCAAATGGCCCCAATTGACAGATCTGGGCCAAAGCAAAGCAGGAACCAGGAACATCATCCTTGTCTTCCGTAAGGGTGGCAGGCGCCACACTCAGGCCATCTTCTTCTGCCTTCCCAGGCACATTGGCAGGAAACTGGATGGAATACAAAGCAGACAAGACTCAAATCAACACCACAGTACGGGGTTGGCTTCACAAGAGGTGGCTTAGCCCACTGTACCACAATGCTGGCCCCCAGACTATCTCTTTATAACAAGTAGTGAAACACTTCTAAGTGTCTGGCATAAGGCTAAATATTTCTATACTTTAATTCATTGAACCCTAACTTCATGAGACCACTGCTTTTCTGAAGAGTAAATTAGCTTTCTCGAAGTCATACAGCTGATAAATGGTAAAACCGGAATACCAACCCAGGCTGAACTAAAATATCCTGCTTTCATTCATTACAGAGAACTAATTTCCTTTTTGGGGTAGACAGATAATTTGCCAAGAACCAGAGCCTTTTCTTTCTTAGCCATCATTTTCCCTTTAAACCATGCTTTCTTTAGGAATTGCTTCCAAATTTCCCTAAATCCTCACCACACTCAAGCAGCTTTCCACCCTGGAGCCAGCCTCTAAAACATAGAAATAACCCTCTCCAGACAGCTCAGCTCAGTTTTTTTCCATTGTACAAATAGGCTATAGTAAGCGTAATTTTGTCTTATGCGTCCATGCTAGGCTCAGGTCTGGCCACATGGCACAAATGGACAACCCATGCATTTGGAGAGCCTCCAAGAAATCCATCCCAAGCACTGAATGGCCCTGGCTCTGTTTCAAGATTTTACTAACCTTCCACAAATTGTGATTCCAGACACGTTTATACCTTGGCCCCCAGGATAATGGAAGCCACAAAAGAGGTAAAAATTAAAATGTCAGTCCAGCTGGGTCCACGATGTGGGCCAGCAATTACAATGGAAGTGACTGCCTCTTAGGTCACTTGGTGGGGTGCACATGGATGCTTCCTGCAAACGGGGTCACAGAGTAACCCAGAGCAGTTTCCTGGCTATTCCTTAACTCTGTAAACAGTACACACCGCTTATCAACAGTAACCAAGATTTCAGTAAGCAAAAGTAGAGATCGGAAATACAGTTAAAAACTCATCAGAATTCACCAGTGTTGTGATTCAGCTACCTGTGCCATTATTCAGGAATCACGGACCTTGAGGTAGATACGTGGTGGCTGGAGACTCAGCATTATTCTCTGCCCAAGCCAAGAGTAAAGATTACCCAGACCTCTCCCCATTTCCTCCAGATGCTGAAGAATGAGCGTTTTGCTGGGCCACGGCAGATGGAAAAGTGAATGCCCATGGTAAAAGTGGCACCTGCGAGGTCATTCACTCTGCAGGATTCTATCAAAGGTTCAAAGCATTGACCCAAGAAAAGTAAGTGAAACTGAGGACCAAAGTCAGAACTGTGGGTGAAACAGAGATTGAGTGATGTGGGAATCCAGACATCACCAGTTTCCTTACCTTCTTTATTTTCTTTTTTTGACAGCAGAGTTAGTGAGAGAGAGAGAGAGAGAGAGAGAGAGGGAGAGTTATAGACAGTGAGAGAGAGACATAGAGAAAGGTCTTCCTTCCGTTGGTTCACTCCCCTAATGGCCGCCATGGCTGGTTCTGCGCCGATCCAAAGCCAGGAGCCGGGTGCTTCCTCCCAGTCTCCCATTGGGTGCAGGGACCCAAGCACTTGGGCCATCCTCCACTGCCCTCATGGGCCACAACAGAGAGCTGGACTGGAAGAGGAACAACAGGGACTAGTACCCAGTGCCCCAACTGGGACTAGAACCTGGGGTGCCGGCGCCGCAGGTGGAGGATTAGCCAAGTGAGCCATGGCGCTGGCCACCTTCTCTATTTTCATTCTTTAGAGCCCTAGCCACTGAGAGAAGCCCCTCATTTGGCCTGAAGTAATCTGCTGGGTTTTCTGATTTCAGCATCTGAGATGTAACGTTTGCTGGGTTTGACACCAAGCACTCTAAGTAAGTGGATGCCTTTTCTTCTGGGATGCCAGGGGGAAACTGAGGTTACTTCAGCAAAAGTTGCCCTTCTGCCAGTCTGTGTCCTATTCTTGAGAGGCAGCTGGTCAAGTTTACAAGGAAAACTGATATACAGCCACAAAGGTGTTTGATTCAAATGTTTGGCTTTATCTTTGTATATCTTGATATAACACTATGGATACAGGTTATTTTCTTTCAGTGCTTGTCATCTGTCTTGTAATTGTTTTTTTATTACTTGGCTTCCCTCTCCATAAGATCATAGACTGCATGGGGACAGTCTGCCTCATCACTATATCCGCCATAGAATCGGGTTTTTGAAAGACATGAATAAAGAAAGTCAAGGCAGAAACGTCTTCTCGTTTATGTCCTAGGAATAGTGAATTCCTATCAGCTGAGTAAAATGTGGGTTCAATTGCTCGGGAGTTTTAACTGCCAGTGGTTGTTACTGAGTTTGTATGATGTGTAAATGTAATGTTGGATATAGCTGTAAGTTTTGGAATGGGAGCAAGTTTTCAGGCTGCTTTGTCTGCCAGCTTTCATTCTTCCCTTGGGTAACTCAGCCAATTCTGGTGTGGGAAATTGCCCTGTCCTTTACTCTCAGCTCATCCATGTCCTATTATAGGGGTCTCTCTCCCTAGGTGCAGTGGGCCTGGCATTGGTATATGATTCTCTGTTCCTCTGCCTGTCCTGGCTCGTGGAGTTTTTGGTTCAGCTTGGTCCCAGCTGCTCTTGTCTGAGGAATGCTGCAGCTGGAGGGAGGTGGTCCTTTCTTTGCTTTGGGGAGAAATGAGCTGACCCGTGGGGCCTCTACATTGAAGCCATACAGGGAAAAGTAGGGGAGAGAGAAAGAGAGAGGCTGGGGGTGGGGTGGCAGGGGAATCCTGAGATGACACCATTAGAGACAACAAATCACCCACAACTTCAACTTCTTTTTTTCTGCCATTTGAAACAAAACTAGAGCAGAGACTATGTTGCATTACTTAGTTTGGTGATTCTAAGAGAAATAAATCAGTTAGATGGCTCCTAGAGAAAGTAAAGCTTAGTAGGTTTTGGTCTTGTTTGGAAATTCATTATTTTATTGGACTGAAATCTGCTGTCTTAGATACACTGTTCTAGCTTCTGGAGCTACAGATAACTCAAATATATACACTGTCACTTCAATCTGACAGCTCCACATGAAGAGAGCAATTATGACTCATTTATTCATCCTTTCATTCAATACGTGTGGCACACCTACCTTGTGCAGGCACATATTTTCTCCAGGCTATATATTTAGACCATTCTCAGAACTGTTTCTCCTATCACTGGGATTCTGGACCAATACCACTGCTCCTTCCTTAGAAGGACTCCACTGTGTCAAATAATCTCCTTTAAAACCTGGTGTCTGGAGCCCAGTGGGGGCCTTTCACAGGTGGGTGGAGCTGAGAGAGTCAGGGACCTGAGCAAGGGTAAGAAGCCTGGGGACTTTAAGGCACTGCTAAGGCTTTGACACTGCAGGAGTGCAGGGTGCGAGTGGAATACGGATGAAGTAGCACCAGAAAAGTCATTAGAGATAAGCTCATGACACATGCGAATGCCATTCTAAGGAGTCTGATTCCTTCCTACAAGGCGATAGAGAGTCTCTACGTTTCTAAAGAAAGGGGACAACATGATCAGTTTACATTTCAGATAGATACTTTGAAGGTATATGGCCCAAGAGACCAGTGAAACAGAGGCAGGATAACTGGCTGGTGGGAGGTGCAGGAGGAACCCATTCAGGCTACAGCCGTGAAGGTGGAAAGAACAAGGCGGTTTAAAGGCAATGAGGGCAAGTGGTTTGCTGTGCTGCAGGCTGTGGCTACTCAAAGTGGGTCTGAGGGCCAGCAGTAGCAGTCCTGGAAGCTTGTGAGAAATGGAGGAGCTCACCCCAGACCTGCTGAGTCACAGTCTTCAGGTTGACAAGACCTTTCGTATGAGTCAGAGGTGTATTAAAACCGGAGAAACACAGATCGATCTATGTACATGGCATATGGGGTGAAGACACAAAATAGCTAGGGTTCCTACCCTAGTAGAGTTCACGTTCCAGCAGGAAGGCATGCTTGAGACAAAAATTTCATGGATAACACTGAATACTGACTGTGGTTAGTACTAGTAGGGGGACACAGGAGAGCTAGGAAAGCACACAATGGAGGCACCTGACCTGGGCTATGGCTGTGGTGGAGAGTGAGGCACTGGGGTGTGGGATTCCCCTTGAGTATGTTGAGGCAAGCAGCAGCAGTGAACAGGCTAGGTGACACAGGTGGAAAATTGCATGAGTGTGTGTGTGCTGACAAGGAGTCTTCCAAGCAAAAGCACCAGCACTTGTTCAGACTGGAAGGGGCACCAGGGCCCTGGAGCAATTGAAAGAGAGCTAGAGCAGTTGTGGGGGTATGGAAGTTAGAAGGCGAAGTAGGCTGTGAGTTCAGGTGGGGGATCAGGCCAGCCTTCTCAATCATGCAGATGATCTTGATTTTTATTTTCAGAAGGATATGGGAGGTGGAAACTTAGAGCGGCATCAGGAAGACTGAACACAAGAGGAGACCTGACACAGCCTTCTGGGATAGTTCTGACCACAGCCAGTTTGTTAGTGCAAACTTTTGCTTTAGGTGTTTTCAGTTTTGACTCTATTTAAGAAAGATATGTTGAGCACATACTCTGAAGAGCCTTGTGCTAGATAAGAGAGGGATATGAAAGTATTTGAGAGGTGGTCCCTAACCTTAAGAATGTTACAGGTTAGTAATGACATTTTACTTCATTAAAGATGCACTTGCTAAGATTCAACATCCCTTTATGATAAATATTCTCCATAAATTAGGAATAGTGGGAACATACCTCAAAATTATAAAGACTATACAGGACAAACCAACAGTCAATATCATAGTAAATGGGAAAAGCTGAAAGCATTTAAAATAAGACAAGGATGTTCACTTTCACCACCCCTGTTCAATATAGTACTGGGGGTATTAGCAAGCGCCATTAGGGAAGGGCATCAAAATTGGAAAGGAGGAAGTCAAAATATAGGTGTTTGCAGATGATACAATGTTGTAAATGAAAAAACCTAAACACTCCACCAAAAAGCTGTTAGA